TCAGATATTAATGATGTCTTGAAATATGTTCTAGTTTTATTATGAAATCCAAGGTTTGGTTTAGAAGAATAACAGATTTAAATGGGCACTAACTATTAGATAGGCTTCATCAAGCTTTCTCACTTTTCTGTCAAGGAATATCTAATATCCCAGTATATTCAAAGCCATCCTGTGAAGCAAGTCAGATACTTCAGTTTCAGTGAGGAGCTATCACACTCTGTCATATCTCAAATCTGTCTGGCCTATCTTCTGCAATTCAATACATGTAAGCCACTTGATAGAAATCTGGATGTATCTTCCCCTCTTGCAAAATATGCTGCAGAACACTGGATCATACATGCACATTCTGGTTGCAAGAGTCAATCTCAGTCATCTTCAATATTTGTATTGATGATGAAGCTTCTGACGGATGAAAATAATGCTTTTGTGAACTGGGTTAAAATTCATGATATTGATATGCACTTCAGGATGACGGGGGATGAGATTGCTAAACCACTATATTATGCATCACAGGCTGGACTAACTGAAGCATCATATGTTTTGTCAGAAATGACAACAGATATAAATGCACAGGGAGGATTCTATGGAAATGCACTGCAGGCAGCATCATATGGAGGCCATGAGGCAATTGCAAAGCTGCTCATATACAAAGGAGCAGATGGAAATGCACAGGGAGGATTCTATGGAAATGCACTGCAGGCAGCATCATATAAAGGCCATGAGGCAATTGCAAAGCTGCTCACAGATGAGGGAGCAGATATAAATGCACAGGGAGGATTCTATGGAAATGCACTCCAGGCAGCATCATATGGAGGCCATGAGGCAATTGCAAAGCTGCTCATAGACAATGGAGCAGATGTAAATGCACAGGGTGGAGACTATGGCAATGCACTGCAGGCAGCATCATATGGAGGCCATGAGGCAATTGCAAAGCTGCTCATAGACAATGGAGCAGATATAAATGCACAGGGTGGAAACTATGGAAATGCACTGCAGGCAGCATCTTATGGAGGCCATGAGGCAATTACAAAGCTGCTCATAGATGAGGGAGCAGATGTAAATGCACAAGGAGGGCAGTATGGAAATGCACTCCAGGCAGCATCATATAAAGGCCATGAGGCAATTGCAAAGCTCCTCATAGATGAGGGAGCAGATATAAATGCACAGGGAGGATTCTATGGAAATGCACTGCAGGCAGCATCATATAAAGGCCATGAGGCAATTGCAAAGCTGCTCACAGATGAGGGAGCAGATATAAATGCACAGGGTGGAGACTATGGCAATGCACTCCAGGCAGCATCATATAAAGGCCATGAGGCAATTACAAAGCTGCTCATAGACAATGGAGCAGATGTAAATGCACAGGGTGGAAACTATGGGAATGCACTCCAGGCAGCATCATATGGAGGCCATGAGGCAATTACAAAGCTGCTCACAGAGAGGGAGCAGATGTAAATGCACAAGGAGGGCAGTATGGAAATGCACTCCAGGCAGCATCATATAAAGGCCATGAGGCAATTGCAAAGCTCCTCATAGATGAGGGAGCAGATATAAATGCACAGGGAGGATTCTATGGAAATGCACTGCAGGCAGCATCATATAAAGGCCATGAGGCAATTGCAAAGCTGCACATAGATGAGGGAGCAGATGTCAATGCACATGGAGGACACTATAGAAATGCACTCCAGGCAGCATCATATAAAGGCCATGAAGCAATTGTAAAGCTGCTCATAGAGGAGGGAGCAGATGTAAATACTAGTCAGATGCAACTATGGGTATTAAAGAACAGGTTATTATGTAGGACATGGAATAGTGAAGATTTTATGGATATTTTGCCTTGTATATATTGATGATATAGTCATCTATTCAAAAACC